TTATATGATACACTGATGCAGTCTTTGACAGATTACGACCTCTCACGTGTCAACCAAATTTACCCTTCTTCACTTGAATATATCGAGACATGTTTACGGCGGCAGCTAAAATAAATTGACTTACGAAAAGGCCTAAACCGGACACAATGGCCTGATGACCAGCATACTACTAGAAATCGACCCAAATTGATTAATCTGTCCCGAAAAATTACCATTGGAGATCAGATCACAAGGTCGGACCTTCAGAAAGTCTGGTGACCCAAATCCAAATGAACTTGCTCTAATGTTCGCTGGCATATGTCGTTGTGAGTTCTTTTCCCTCTCTTTGAGTTATGTCTCGTAAAGAACACACTCCCGATGAACGACACCTAATTTTCCTTCACTAGTGACCTCACAAGTTCTCTCGCCTCTCTTTGAGTTATGTCTCGTTAAGAACATCATCTCGATGAACAACACCTCATTTTCCTTCACTAGTGTCCTCACAAGTTCTCTCGCCTCTCTTTGAGTTATGTCTCGTTAAGAACATCATCTCGATGAACGACACCTCATTTTCCTTCACTAGTGACCTCACAAGTTCTCTCGCCTCTCTTTCAGTTATGTCTCGTTAAGAACACACTCCCGATGAACGACACCTCATTTTTCTTCGCTAGTGACCTCACAAGTTCTCCCGCCTCTCTTTGAGTTATGTCTCGTTAAGAACACACTACAGATGAACGACACCTCATTTTTCTTCGCTAGTGTCCTCGTAAAACAATTGCTGCAGCGCAAGTGTCGAGCTTATCACCGTGATTGCATCAGGGCAGAAGACAGCCATTGTCTCCGCTACTATCGCCATGGCTCATAAAATAAAAACTTCCTCGTGTTACCAGGTCTTTATTAGAAAACTTTAGCATGCTAGGGCCCCAGCGCACGCTCGCTTGGAGTCCTTGTAGGATTACCTTCCTATTTATAAGGTCACGCTCAGAACATGGGCAGGCATCGTGTTTTTGGCTCCTTGTTTGGCTGATATTTTTATCATTACGGCGTGTTGAGGCCCTTGCTATGACCAAGGATTTGGTAGTCCCATCGATCTTTTACTTTAACCCTGAAATGCTTGAGCCTCGGTGCAAAGTTTGTGGCACGTTCAGAACACGCATTCGACTTTTGGGATGTTTTCGGATCAGGGCTATATGCCTGGCGCCATGTACACTGTTAGAAAAAAACTGTGAAAAAACGGTCACACTGGCATTCTAGTGGCCGGTCGTCCCGTGAAAATGAACTGTTTCGCCGTTTTTATAAGATGTTATAAGGATTTCTAGTGTCAAATTAGAATAAAAACTGCAACAAGGTGTTTCTTTCCAAGTGCCGACCGGCCACTGAAACGCCGGTAATACCGTTAACGGTAATTTTTCTAACAGTGTATGAAACTGTATTTGAATTCTGAAAGTGTTCATAACTATATAGTTTCCAAAAGTAACTCGGGTCCTCAGCCTGTCTTTGACTTTGAGACCCTTTTGCAAATATTCTTTAAGTTATGATCATTTTTACATGCAGTTCGCTTAAAAGACGAAATTGAAAGTATTGCCTAATTTCAAAAATTGTTTGTTTTGAGCCATCGATAAATTTATTAATAGTTTTAGATCCAGTCGGCTATTCATTATTACAACATTCGTATATTCCTTTATTTGTGTGTTCATATTTTTTTCCTTCGCAGAGACCATATTTGTTAACATTATATTTTGATGTTAATTTTATTAGTTATCTAAAGTATTTATTTAAGTTTTCTAAGATGAGCTCTTATTTTTATTGTTTATTCATAGTAACTGTCTTCATCTTCCTTATTATGTGCTTCCTTCATTATTAATGAAATATTAACCATTTAGATCGATTATCTTCCACCACCTGAATTTATCGACCTACTTCATTGTTATTTATTTCCACGTTCTACTTTCAATCTTTTTTTATTTACATTGTTTACATATTCGATTTTCTACATAATATGATTATTTTCTTCACAAATTACGGCGTCGCAATAATTAGTTCCCTCATTGGGCCTTAACTAAATTGACTGCGCAATTGCAAATAAATTTTATTTCAACGTCTACTGTGTTGCAATACTTTTGCCTATTTTTTTGCTTCTAACTATAATTATCAAGTCGTTTAACTCTGTGTACTTAGCTCATTTGAGTAGCATGCAAATCATTCCAACTCGCCAAATAATGGGAACTAAATAATGTTTAGAGTTATTATAAATGATAAACCAAGTTTAATAAATTCGTTTTTATTTGAGTATAAATTTAAAATGAATAATTTATTCGCCACTGGAATGAAAAAGATTCAAAATTTTTTTTACCCAATAAAACGCCGAATTGGGCGGTTTTATTGGCATCTTCATGTCCTAAACCTTTTGAATCAGTAATTTCCTGAGCGTTGGGTAGCACGCATAGGATATGAAGATCTGGCTCTACACTTCTGGCCATCGAGATCACTTGATCTCACGTGACTATTTCTTATGGGGTTACGTCAAGGAAACTGTTTACGTCCCGCCTCTACCAGCAACTCTGTTTACGTCCCGCCTCTACCAGCAACTCTGTTTACGTCCCGCCTCTACCAGGAACTCTGGTTCATCTGAAGAACCGTATCACTGCTACGGTGCACTCAGTAACAGAACGTCCATATTGAACATTTATAAATATGTAAACAAAACTTCGAATCTTTCTCTTTCCATTGGTGCATAAATTATTCCTTTTGAATTTATACCTCAATGATACGAATTTATCAATTGAGTCTACCATTTAGAATAATCCTTTATATCAAATATAAAAGTCTGTCCTAATGGTCCAGCTAGACTCTCGTCAATTCACTACTTAAAATTAAGAATACAATTATAATAAGGTAAGGTTATTATTGTAATTAAGACTGCATTAATCAACACCTTTCTCACAAAGAGCCTTTCCACCTCACGCCTTTGCCCCTGTCACCCTACGGGTTCCATAGCACGGCTGGTTCAATTATGAGTATTTCGCGACAGCGACCTTCACATGAAGACTGACGTACAATCAAGCCCCGCATGAATTGTCTTAATTTTATCCAATTTCATGTGTCCCTCTTCCTGCTCAGTACGGACGACGAGGCAGCAAGTGTCCTACAGACAATTTCATGTGTCCCTCTTCCTGCTCAGTACGGACGACGTGGTGGCAAGTTTCCTAACAGACAATTTCATGTGTCTCTCTTAGTTCCTGCTCAGTACGGTCGACGAGGCAGCAAGTTTCCTAACAGACAATTTCATGTGTCTCTCTTCCTGCTCAGTACGGACGATGTCTCTTATACACATCTAGATGTGTATAAGAGACANTTCCTGCTCAGTACGGACGACGAGGCAGCAAGTGTCCTACAGACAATTTCATGTGTCTTTCTTACTTCCTGCTCAGTACGGACGACGAGGCAGCAAGTGTCGTCTACATCTGCAGTGCGTTTAATTTTACAATGCTTCGCTGTTGTCCATTGCTCTGTTTTTTCTCATCGAAGTCTTTGTCGTCTTTGTGTGTCCATTAAAGCAAGTTGTAGAGCTTTTTCAATTATCTTAATCTTGTTGTGATGCACACAGCCCAAAAATGGATGCCTTTGGCAATGCAATTTTGAGCTTTGAATTCCTGCGCATATGCTTAAATAATTGTGCGAGCACAGCGCGCAATTAACATAATAAACTGCGTTCTTATTGCTCGTGTTAATCAGTGTATTTGTATTGCTGTGGTTATAATCTTGGTTTCTCTGTCTGTGTGTTTTTCTATAGTTGTTTCTTTGTTAATCTGAATTTTGAAGGAAAATAATTTGTTGAAAAATTATTTAATCATATATTATGTTAATGAAAAACCTCATATGTCGGTTATTGTGATCCTCATTTTTCTACTAACCCCAATTTTCTTCCCTATACATTGTCAATTTATTTATTATCACTGAACATATTTTGAATGGGTTATCCATTGTGTTTGTTTCCAATAGCGGATAATTTTTTCGTTCCTTAATAAATTTTTCATACAACCGAATTCTTAATATTTACATTATTCTAGTTTCTTTTGAGACCGTACGTATTATTTCGTACCTTAAATGCATTTATGTTTAGTTAAGCGCCTATTTTTTCGGGTTCTAACGACCAATATTTTACAAATGTATCAGTACTAATAACGCCCTCTTGTATGACAAATAAATTTCCTTTTTAGATAATTTCCAAGTTATTTAAAGCTTTTAAAACTGTGTTGCTGAGATATAACGCTTTTTCCAGACATTCGCTCATAACTTTTATTCATCTCAATGTTACATCATGTCTTGTGTGTCTTTGTTTGTAAATGTGTGTGTCATTTTATTACAAAGTTTAATAGTTGTCACTGCAATTTGTCTGTTCGTTTTACGTTGTTAATTTAAGTCATGTTCTCTTCCCCCAGCTTATGGCAATAGTCAAGTTTTTCCAAGGTGAGTATTATGCTTCAGACAATTTGTTCTGACTAATTTGTGAGTTTTTCAGAAATTTCTTAAAAATTTGCCTTTGTTTATTATTGTTAATCATATTGTGTGTACGATCTTATATTTGCGTGTCCATTATATATAATATTATTTGGTGCCACTCTAAAACCAATAAACATTTTAAGGACGTTCGATAGCATAGTTATTTATTATTTTAATTCTGTGTTAACCTGTTATCTATTCATTGGTGGTGTGGTGTTCAAACACTGGTCTGAAACATTCAGTATTGAGTATTTAATAATTCTATGCTAATAATTGATCTGCTTTTAACTCTTTTTTTACCCAATTTACTGGACTATTCAATGGTGATTAATTGATTTTCCTACTAACAGGTTCGCGCTTCGATAGCGCTCCACCGACCTTGTAAGCATTCTTCGTTCTATTTCCATGCGCTTGGGCGATCGCTCTTCGCTATTGCTTTCACAGCAATGCCGGCGACTTGACACAGCGCTATAAATCTCGCTACGTTCGAAACTAACGTCCGTGGTTTTGCCCTCCAGGGAGCGTCGATCACATGGAGCCTCCTCCTCTCCATCACTCCAAACACTCCACCAGCTCTGCTCCTCAAGATGTCGACGTGTCCCAACACTCGCCGGACAATAACGAAGCAAACGTCATACAAAACATCAGGCCCTTAGCATGGGCTGGAGATGCGATCATCAAGCAAGTGGTGAAGGAGCTGTACTCGTCCCGGCAGTGGTTCCAGGAGCTGCCCAATGCTGTGTGTCACAACACGTCCAAGCTCCAGCACGACCAGCTCTGCTGGAACGGAGAGAAGCTTGCCCCGTGAGTATATAGACATTATGGCTCAGTGTGCATAGGAAATTTTCCTGAAATTGAGCGTTAAGTGAACTCGACTCATATTTCTCACGCCTTCAGTGGAATTTAACTTTCGCTTCCCGGTCTTTCACTGAACGTTCTTTTTGTTCGAAGTTCTACTGTGGACTTGTGAAGTATTACTTATTCTGCTTTTCTAATGTAAACGAGTGGAAATTTCTTGCCTTTTTTTGCCGGCGTCAACGTCAGTTCTAGTATCCGCAAACATCGCACTGGCTTCGTCTCAGCCAGGCGACTTATTGCCTAATACCCAACACACCCAACACCAAAAACCCGGCAACCCTCACTCAACACTCCTCACCAACACCCCTCGCCCAACACCCCTCGCCAACACCCCTCACCCAACACCCCTCACCCAACACCCCTCACTCAACACCCCGGCTATGATATCCAGCTCAAGCACGGCCTACTCTCCTCTAAAATGCCTTTCTTGTCGCGACGCCTTATATTTCCTCCGTATATTTCCTCCTTATATTTCCTCCGTATTTCGTCGTGTGTACTCAGCGTGGAAGGAAAATCCTTGCCCGCAGCAGCAGCACGACATTTTGCCCTGGGACTCTCCGTGCAGTATCCTGCTGGCAGATCCTTGCCGCTAAATTTTTCTTGAAATGAATCCCGAAGCTTCTTTGTGTTGTTTTTAGTGTCCTGTAGGATGCAGGCGACTATGTGTTCTCGTGGGATTTTAATTGAATTATGAGAAGCAAAATGATAAAACAATTCGCTGTCGCGGCAAATATTTTGATATTACGTGTCAATGCATGTCCGTCCATTTGAAGACTTGTTTTTATTAAGTTTGGGTCTGTAAAATAGCTGATTGTTACTAAGGTTTTTGAATTTGTATGCCTAGTATATCTACTTGCATTAACTATACCAATATCTGATTATTTCCTATACATGTTTCGTTAATGAAACATATATACTATCCTTTTTAGCCTGACTGTCTCAGGTGCCGCAGTGTGCACGAATGCACTTCTCGTTTGAGACTTTAAAGTGAGACCACACCACGGGTGTGTGTAGGCACCAAACTTCCCTTAAGCCTTTTAAATTGAGACCAAATCTCGAGACTTTTAAAATGGGACAAAATCTCGAGACTCGCTCAGGCACCGGTCTTCAATTGGGACTTCAAAGCGAGACCAAGTCTTCGCACTCAGTTGTGACCGAGCTTTCGTTAGAATTTTACTGTCAACATGCAACAGATTTGCTTCGCGCAAGGCGTCGGTTTATTTGCAGAACACCTGAACAATCACTTGCTTGATCCTTTGATAAAAGCGCTATTAGTGGAGCTTGCGTCGCTAACTTGTTATACGTGTCAGAAGGAGCGCTCGAGCGACCTCACAATATGAATCGTTCTTACAGCAACGATCGTCAATTGCCGGGAAACTCAACGACATAACGACGGTTATCTTCTGAGATGAACTGCTTGGTCAGACAAATATCTTGCTTGATCATATGATAGCTTGTCCGATCACACGATCGCTGGTTCGGTAACTCGATCGTTTGACAGGTCACACGATCTCTTGTCCTATTACACGACCGCTGGTTCGGTAACTCGATCGTTTGACTGGTCGCACAATCGCTTGTTCAGTCACTCGATCGTTTGTCCGGTCACACGATCTCTTAAGTTTGATCACAATTGATTCTTCGATCACTTTTTCGTTGCTCGATTGCTCGGTTAGTCACAAGATCGCTTGCTCGGTCACTCAATCGTTATGGGTCTCCAGCGCCGTCGTAACCTCGCGTTTCCACACCAGGTGGCGGCAGTTGGGCTTCGCGCTGTGGCAGTTTTATTGTTTTTTATTCAACTCGGGAGCCATACGGAGCTGCGGACCTCTTCCTTCTGCTTGCAATTGCGGCGCTCGTAAACTTCTCGATGTAAAATTAAACCGCATCAGCGATGAGATACGTGCTGCTTGCTGCTTGCTGTGTGCTGGTGCTGGTCTGCATTCTGATAATGCAGATAATGGTGCTGGTGTTGCTAATGGTGACGCCATTAATGACAGTGTTACGGTTTGTACAGGAATAGTATACGTCATGTACTAATATAGCTGATAATTACAAAAGCTGAATGGCTCTTGCTATAAAGCCTTTCGTCACTGACAATACGTTTTCTGCGTGAATTAATTTAGTTACGTACGCTATGTGTCTCTAAGTGAACTTTTTTCTTTTTTTAAAACGCAAACGTTAATTTATCGCAAATATTTTTATTTCTTCCCTTTTCCGTGGCCGTGATCTGGCGTATTTCAGCAACATTGACTGTCTTTAATTGAAGTAAGTTCGGTAAAATGTGCGTCTGCTCCCCTGTTGAGGTTGAAAAAATAGAGGAAAAAGTTAACTTTTTTGTCGGCCATCGAGGCTCCTTGCCCTGGTTGACGTTTTAATAAAACGTCCACAATTTACGGTCTTGAAAAATGCTCGCAATATCGGACCTTGGTTCAAGAGGGTACTTGTTTTGGAGACCAAGGCGGTTTATCGGTGGCCAGAAGCGGGTTGTCGATGGACGATTGTGGTCGATTTATCGGCGGCCAACTGGAGGCTGATTGTTATCCGCGTACAATATTCTTAGGAATTCATGGTACTCTCAACAAAATTACTGGATCAAATTGCCCAAATAGTGACACTCTTTAGTAGCACCGATACGACTTTTTACCGGGACAAACTGAGTGAGAATGAACCACACAAAGGCAAAATGCGCGTATGTTTTGGACAACGTCTCGCTCATTTCTATGGGTGTAGGGTGTGCAGAGTCTCGATCTCTGGTGCCAATATCAGACGTGGCTGGTAGGACGTGTATCACTTCCAGAGACACTCACGCGTCCTGCGGGAAATGTATGAGCATGCCCGGGCTTCCTTCATCTCCACGCCGCTCCTGCAGCCAAACAAACGGGATTTTTTCCTGAAAATTTATTATGTGAAAGCCGTGACCCTGGAGAAAATTTTGACTTGGGATGTCATCAATCATTTTTGGAAGAATAACTTAATAGTTAAACGCACAAGCCCCAAACTTGGTCCATATTTCACAGTAACTTTGTTGGTGTCTTTACAAGAATGTGCTTTATGGACCTTCAATTTCTCGGCAAACGTGACGGGAAATTGAAAAAGTTAGCAGACGTAAGCGCACGAACGCAGCGTATCTCGTTCTGTGCTGGATTACATTGTTGCTCGACCACAGCACCCATGAAACATGTTGATAGAAGTGGTAATGAGTAAGAGGAATAAATGACCCAATTAAAAATTAAACAAAATTTGTTTATTCTATTTCTTGTGTTTGGAGGCAGAGTATTCGTAAATATATGATACAAATAAGTCAATGACTTAATATTCACAAAGCTCTTTTATAGTTTTGGCAGCTTCTCTTTTTTACTATTCTCTGACGCAGAAATGAATCTAGGCCACGGCACGAAATGAATGCATGACCAAAATGTTTGTCTTCTGTAATTAAACGTAACAAAATAATTTGTGTGAATTATATGGTACCACCGTCACAATTCGAACGATAGATACAATTCTCATTAAACATTTTTACTGATGATAAAATCAATAGGCCAAAAATTTTAATAATATAATATTAAAGTGATTATACATTTATCACTTCTGCTCAAATATCACGTTGTTCCAGATATTAGTAATGAAGTTCTTTCCTATGGCACTCAGCAAATGCAAATTTTGATCAGAAAATAATGAATTAACAATGAAATTTCGTTTAAAAATTTCTTTGATAAAATGTTCATCTCCATAAATGAGAAGGTGCGAGAAAAAAGATCAAAAATAATTCCTTTAATTTGCCCAGAAGAAGAAATAAACTAATAAATCTAATGTAAATTCTGAATCTAAGTTACAGCATATTATAAAAGTTTTCTATTGATCGTTTTTTGCTTGAATATTTAATGAAAGAATTTTATTGTATATTCAACTGTGGTGTTAAAACACATCACAGGCAGGGTAAACATCATCGAACCTATTCTGTGTTTTCCATTTCGATGTCTCGTCTTTCAGTTGTATTTCCTCTCTCATTCTTCAGTTGTATTTCTTGTCGTATCCTTCAGTTGTATTTCCTCTCTCATCCTTCAGTTGTATTTCCTCTCTTATCCTTCAGTTGTATTTCTTGTCGTATCCTTCAGTTGTATTTCCTCTCTCATCCTTCAGTTGTATTTCCTCTCTCATCCTTCAGTTGTATTTCCTCTCTCATCATGCAGTTGTATTTCCTCTCTCATCATGCAGTTGTATTTCTCTACACTCAACATTCGGCACAATATCTCGCTACAACAGCCGCCTGCTTGCCCTGAAATTGCCCATGTTACGGCATTATCGCCATAACATTAATTAAGTTGAGCTTCAAGAGCATCTATAGCCATTACACTTCAACACAGGCGGTGCTACTAAAGCCCTTAAAGTCTCACTAATTCCCCACAATCTAATCCCATTCAGGCTCACTTTCCCGTCCCAGATTGTCCCTTTGCTTCCCTAAATATGAAGCGGGGAAAATTCGAATTTCTTTCGGGAGTTGCGTCCAAATTATTCTCGTTAAATTGTAGGAATTTTTTAAAACGGGATTTATCTTAGAAAAACATACACTGAAACCGCATCTTTGAGAATAAAAATTTTCTATTTCTTAGATACAAAATTGTATGCTAAACAAGAAATTGCATGATGACCCGTTATATGGTAGAATTTAAAATTCACATCGTACGAAAAAAAATGTACTGAAATAATAATCATTATGTTCTTTTGACAGGCTCCGACCCTGAGAACATTTCTCGTACGTGTGAATAAAATCTAGTTTTATAATGTCATGATCTTATCCTAATATTGCCTGCAAAAATAACAACTTTTTGAACAAAAATAGCTCTTTTTCATGTAAATAAAATATAGGCTTATTGCAATCGTGTAATGTAATTCATCCATGATCATGACAGTATGACCTTATGATGAGTTTGGGACTTTCTAGTCCC